TTTTTTTTTTTCTCTATTGTAAATGGAATTGTCTTCTTGGTTTCTTTTTCAGATGGCTCATTGTTAGAGTATAAAAAGACAACTAATTTTTGTATGTTGATTTTGTATTCTGCAAATTTACTGAATTGATTACTAGTTCTAACAGTTTTTTGGTGGAGTCATCAGGGTTTTCTATATACAACACCAGGTAATTTGCAAATAGAGATAATTTTACTTCCTCCTTCCTAAAGTAGATGCCTTTTATTGTTTTCATTGGCCTAATTGCTCTGGCTAGGACCTCCAGCACTAAGTTGAATAGAAGTGGTGAAATTGGGCATTCTTATTCTTACTCTTAGAAGAAAAGCTTTTATGTAGTATTTCCTTAATTTCATTTTGTTGTCTATATGTGTTTTCTTGTATTTCACTAAGCTTCTTCAAGATGAATTGATGGATCTCCAATCTTTTGTGGTAAGTTGCTGAAGCTTTATTAGTTTTCTTTGGTGGTGTCATGTTTGTCTGATTTTTTGTTATTTGTGTAGCCTTGCATTGGTGTTCATGCATTTGAAAAAGCAAAGACTTCTTTGAGTTCTTACAAGCTGGTTTGGGCAGGCTGAAGTCATCTGTTAAGTCTAGAAAATTGGCATTGCCCCTTGAACCACAGGCCAATGCTTCTCGAACCAGAAGCCAATGCTTTTGAAACTAGGCCACATGGCTGCTGCTTAGCCAACAGCGTAGTGCCCAGTGAGCAAACCTACTACCCATTGTGGCAGGCATGGGTCCTGCCTGATCATTGGGTGGACTAGATTGTCTCCAGAACCTTGTTCCAAAGGGCTAGTGTTAGGATCTATTTCAGAGTACACAGACAGCAAGGCTATTACCTGGTTTGCAGATGGGTGTAATTTCCTTTAGGTCCCTGGGAAGGCTCTTGCTGGATCACTTGGACTCAGTAGTGTAAGTCCTTGGATAGGCAGTACCACACCAGTCCAAAGATCAGAGGGTCTGGAACCAAGGTGCTGGGTTTCTTCAGAATCTATAGCCTATCTCTGGTGTTAAGGCATGTCTCCCAGTGGGTCCCTGGACAGGCAGCCTTGCTCTCAGTGTGCAACTGAGTAAAGCTGGAGCTGAGATTGAGGGCTGTTTCAGGATCTGTTGTGGGACTAAGCTTGGCAGGCATGCCCCCAGGGACTCAGGTGAGCATGTCTTCCAGTTGGTCCTTGATTGAGCAAAATTGCTCTTAGACAATAGTGGAGAAGGGTTGGGGGCTGAAATTCAGGACCATTTTAGGATTTGCTGTGCAACTGTGATTGGCATGCACATCCCAGTGATGGCAGCCACTGTTTTCCTAAATAATCATTACATATTTGGTGCTGTTGGACAGCCCTGGTGGTGCTAGGTAAGATTGTGTGCTCTCATTTGGAGTTGTTTATTCATATACAAGGCCATCTCTTATGGGTAAAATTAGGAGGCTGGACACTCCAAGAACTCTTGTGTTAAGTCAATGTCTCCAGAGGCTGGGCACAGGGCCTTGTGACAACAACTTGCCAACCTCCCATGTTCTTGGAAGGTTACTGGGTGTTCTGCCAAGACTAGGTCAGCTGTAGGGCATCTAGTTTATGTGGCCTCTGTGGAGCAACAATACACCTTGCTCCTCTGATAGCTCTAATACTGATATCTACAGCCCCTTTCTTCCCCTTCTCAACTCCAGACCTAGAGTACTGACTGACTATAAATTTAATCTAGAATAAGAATGCTTTGAAAATATAACCACTTTAAGATAGGATGATATTGTATAATCCTGTAACCTATGAGGAGGAATCTGTTTAATGTATACTATGATGAGGAATAACTTTGCTGATATTTGCTTTACTGTGAGGATATAAAAGTAAGAATGGGAACAAGAGGACAGCCCTTTGTGGAGATATCCTTGCTGTTCACCAAAATGGCTGTCCTTTCTATAAATAAAAGTAGAATTGTTGCTCTCTCATATGCTTCTCTGTTGATTGGCTTGGGTGACAGGCAGATGGACTCATGGGTCCTATAACACCAGTGGCACAGAAAAGCAAGTTACCCAGCAGTTCTCTATCCAGGTAAGATTGTTCTTGGGCTGAAATTGAGAGGAACTGGAGCCAAAATTCAAGGCCCTTTCAGTATCTACTTTGGAACTGAGATCTGACAGCCTGCCCTAGGCACTAAGATGGGCTTGTCTTCCCTTGGGTTCTTATGCAAGCAGGATGGATTGTATATTGTAGCTAAGGTAGGGTAGAGCTGAGAAGGAGGGGAATTTCAGATTCCAGAGTGGAGACAGGGCTCCATGGGCCTGTCTGCTGATGCCCTAATATGTGTGACTCCTACTAGCACCCTTAGCAGATGGTTCTGGCAGCAGGACAGAGCCAAATCAGAGCCAAATCAAATCGGAGCCCTTCAGCTTAGGGCTGCCATAACAAAGTAATACAACAGGTGGCTCAAACAACAGAATTTATTAATTAATTAATTTATTTTTTAGAGACAAAGTCTCACTTTGTCACCCTTAATAGAGTGCCATAGCATTATAGCTCATGGCAACCTCAAACTCTTGGGTTTAAGTGATTCTCTTGCCACAGCCTCCTAGCCTATAGCTGGGACTACAGGCATCCACCACAATACCCAGCTATTTTTTAGAGACTGGGTCTCACTCTGGCTCAGGCTGGTCTCAGACCTGTGAACTCAGGCAATTCACCCACCTCAGCCTCCCAAATGCTGGGATAACAGGCATGAGTCACTGCGTCCGGCGCATACAACAGAATTTATTGTCTCACAGTTCTGGAGCCCAGTAATCCAACAGCATGCAGGGGGGTGGGGCCATTTCCAGGTCTGGAGCTAAGATGGCAGTCAACAAGTTTACCACCTGGGTGCCCTCCCAAAACAGCCCTCCAAGGTCTTGAGCTCCCCTGGAGTGTCACAAACTCCTCCTGGAATCCTGAGGCTCACACAAAGGCACTTTTGTCTGCGGATAGCTAAGAGATCATTGTTGCTATTGGGAGATATGAGCAGGGGACTATCTAATCTGCTGATTTGCTGATGTCACACCCTCACTTCCTTGTTTCTGATGAGAAGTCAGTGCTAATTTGAACCTTTGTTCCCTTGTGTGTATAATATTATCTTCTTTTGTTCACTTGGACTATTTTCTCTTTATTTTGGGTTGTAGAAAGTTTGATTATGATAAACTTATTGTTCTATTTTGTATTTCTCCTGTTTTGGATTTTCTTGCATTCTTAAGTGCAAATTTATATCTTTTACTGAAATCTGGAAAATGTTTGACCATTATTTCTTACTCATTTTTTTTCTGCCTCCGTCTGGGACTTCAATTATATATATTTTCTGCAATTCACTAGCGCTCCATTCATTTTTTTCAATATTTTTCTCTCTGTTATCAGACTGCTAATTTCTTCTGTTCTAATTTCAAGTTCACTAACTTTCTTTGGTTATCTTCAGTATGCTATAAAAGCCACTCAATTCATTTTTAATTCCAGGTAAAAGATTTGTTCAGTTAAATAATCTCAATTAAAAATCTATTTCCTCACAAAATTTTTTACTTGTATCTTTCTAACATATTTTTAGTCCTCAAGCATAATCATAACAGCTATAGCACAGTTATTAAAATATTTGTCTACTAATTTCAACATCTGGGTAATTAATTTTCTCTATTGATGCCCTATTTCTATTAAAAATGGGTCATGTTTTCCTGTTTCTTTGTGTGTCTGGTAATTTTTAATTTTATGTTGAACTTTGCTGCTAATATATAGAGATTCTAGATTTTGGTTTGTTTTTCTAAAGTGTTATTTTGTTTACTTATTTATTTTAGCAGGCAATTAACTTGTCCACACTCTAATTTCAAACTGATCAGTTCTTTTGGCCTGAGGCTGCCTGAATTCTATGTATTTCAGGGGTCGGCCAGAAATTTAGGTGGAATTTATGCACACAATTTTGGGTTCCACCTTTCTGACTCTCTTTTGAATTTTTTTCATAAAACTGGTGGAGGATGGAAATCATTTTACTACAAAGACATTTGCACCAGAATGTTTATTGCAGCCAATTCATAATTGCCAAGTCATGGAAGCAGCCCAAATGCCCATCAACCCATGAATGGATTAACAAATTGTGGTATATGTATACCATGAAATACTATGCAGCCATAAAAAGATGGAGACTTTACATCTTTATGTTTATCCGGATGGAGCTGGAACATATTCTTCTTAGTAAGGTATCTCAAGAATGGAAATAAAAGTATCCAGTGTACTCAGTACTATTATGAAACTAACATATAATCACTTACACATTCATACGAATAATAAAACACAAATCTAGTCCAGAAATAAGGAAGGGAGAGGAAGAAAAGGGGAGGGAGGGGGGAGGGTGAGTAGAGAGAGGATATTTGGTGGGATCTCACCTAATGTGCACAACACAAAGGGTACATTTCAAAACAACTAAGAGTATATTATAAATGTCTTACCACAAAAATAAGTGAGGTGATGGTTATGTTAATCAGTTTGATTTAAGCATTCCACATGTATTTCAAATCATCACATTATAACCATAAATGTATACAGTTATTATTTAATAAAAATTAATTTTAAAAACCTCATTTAATGCACTCATTTCTACCACATGCAGACTCCCTCTAATTTCTTCCTGCTTTGGTTGCTCACTAATAGATTCTGATATTGTTTATTATATGTTTTCCAGGGTTTATAGGGGGTGACTGTCAGGAGATTAATCCTATGGAAGATAATACATAGTATATCTCACTTCAAAATACTTGAAGACCAACATATTATACTTAAAGCGAATGTTCTGTATTCTTTTTGTAAGAGCTATTTTTTTATTGTCTTTGAAGTGTTTGTTCATTTGTTTCTTCGTTTGAGACAGAGTTTTACTCAGCTGCCCTGACAAGAGTGCCATAACCTCAGCCTAGCTCACTGAAACCTCAGACTCCTAGGTTTAAGTGATCCTCCTGCTTGAGCCTCCTGAGTAGCTGGGACTACAGGTGCTGCCACAACACCCAGCTAATGTTTCTGTTTTCAGAAACATTAGAGATGGGTTCTTGCTCTTGCTCAAGTTTTTCTCTCCTAAGGTCAAAGGATCCTCTCTCCTTGGCCACTAGAGTGCTAGGATTACAGGCATGAGCCACCATGCCCAGCCTATAGTTATATTCTCAGTAGTGAATTATTTGATTAACCTCTGCCATTCACCCATGTTCACTGTGAGTGGGCAAGTTATAGCTCATTTGGAAAAATTAACCCCCAAAATTCTCTTTTACGGTCAGATGCATTGGGGATCTCTGGAATGGTGTAGGAGAACATTTTGGATTGGAGTCTGTATTCAAGCATGGTGCAGTGTGCTTTTCATGCATTACTTCTTCCAATTCTAATAAACAAACAAAGAATAAAAACTGAGAAATAAGCATTGCTATTATCATTCCTATTTTACAAATAAGGAAAGGGAGGCAGAGACCATATAGATGGATCTTTCTTTCTCCAAAGCACAGGCTTCTATCTGTTAGGCAACATTACCTCTCCGCTGTCCTTTAAGTCAAAACAGAAGGATGCAGGACTGGAACAAGGTTAGCCACATGCCAAGTCATTCCACAGGAATGAGAGGTGATTTCATATATACCTCTCAAACATAGGTTTGTTGTTCCTAATTGATTGTCTCTCCACAGAGGAATGAGATTGTTTTCTTCTCTGTTCTACCTAACCACACCCTCCCCTATGGAATCACCTAATTCCTAACAAGTTCTCTGGACAAGGTTCTTCTTGGATGTGACCAGGAGCCAAGTTCTGCTGCATGCACACTGCTGGGAAGGACCCCATATCCTAAACAGAACCAGTTAAGGCAAATGCCAGCTGCTTTTGAAGGGGTGAGGAGTATCTCCCACAGGGCAGTAAAGTATATATGGAGTCCTGCACTTAAAGTACAATTCCAAGTTCTGGCAATGATACTGACAAGTTGAATGACGGTGGGCAGTCACTTAACTTCTCTGGCATTTCATTTACTTAACTAATAAGGAGGATGGGTGATATTGGATGAGAGGAATCCATGGGGTTATACTTGTAATCTATGTAACACTGTGGCTGGCACATAGAAGGGGACTGATTAAATGTTTTGCACCTCTCAGTGTGCTGGCCTGTGGAAGGAGTGTGCAAAGCCAAAAATTGAAATAAAGCTTCTCTACGAAGAAATTGATTCACTTTCTATAAAGTAAGTGTCTTTCATTAAAAAACATTATTATCTAATGGGGAGGGATTAGCTTTAGAATTTTCTGGAAGTTAAAAGGCACCTTTAACTATGCTTTGTTGAGCCCATAACTATTTACCAAACTCAGTGTCAGCAAAGCAATTTCTATGGATATCTCACTAATCCTTATGGGAAGCCAGGAAGCAGGTGTTGTTACTGCAACCTCCAGTTCAGAGACATGAACAGAGGCTAAGATCACCCAGCTGGTAGGTGATAAAGTCCGAAGTCCAATCCTGGCTCTATGATACTGGGATCCCCTACAACAAACTAAGAATGTTGCCTCATTAAATAGCTTTTTCAGCCCAAAGTTTGTGGAGTCAAAGTTCAGTTGTGGGTATTCTTCAAGGCACTGTATACAGGTCAGAAAAGGGCAGGCCCAGCCACTTCTCAAAACCACAATGAAAATTTGTTTTCAGAATATACAGCAGAACCTCTGTAGCTGACCATGCAAGATAAGGGACTGTAACAAACTAGTCAACATACAGAGGTGGTCAACATAAGGAACTAGGCCTACTGTATTGATACATAGATATGGTGTGTGTCCAGTCTACAAAAATTAGGTTAACTTAAGGGGTCAATGTAGGGAGGTTATCAACTATGGAGGTGCTACTATACTTTAAAGTGCTTTAAAAAATTGTTCTAAAATTATTTCTTAGGATATCCTTAGACTGTATCCTCCAGAGATGTAGGAAGTATTTCAGTCTAATTAATTCTTGATAGTATCTAAAATCATACACAGCAAATCATAGACAATAAATATTTGAGAAGTAAAAAATAGATTTTTTTCTATAATTCAGACACTTTGTAGGCACACTTTGGCTTTTCTCTTTCCAACTTTCATCTCCTAGTTTTCTGAATTATGACAAAGAAAGGAAGAAGCTAATATTTTACTGGGTACTTGCTACATGTGTCCAGCACAGTGAGGAACAGATAGATACAGATACAGATAAATAGTCGTGTGTCAACAGGCTACTTTGGGCACAAAAACAGAGTGGTAGATTTATGGAACAGAATAGAGAACCAAGAGATGAACCCAGGTACTTATCATAATTTGATCTTTGACAAGCCTATCAAAAATATTCAGTGGGGGAAAGACTCCCTATTTAACAAATGGTGCTGGCGACCTATAGAAGACTGAAACTGGACCCCCACCTTTCACCATTAACAAAAATTGATTCTCACTAGATAAAAGATTTAAACTTAAGACATGAAACTATAAAAATATTAGAAGACAGTACAGGGAAAACACTTGAAGAAATTGGCCTGGGAGAATATTTTATGAGGAGGACCCCCTGGGCAACTGAAGCAACACCAAAAACTGGGATCTGATCAAACTAAAAAGCTTTTGCACAGCCAAGAGTACAGTAAGTAAAGCAAACAGACAACCTTCAGAATGGGAGAAGATTTTTTCATGTTATGCTTCTGACAAAGGTCTGATAACTAGAATCTACAGAGAACTCAAACTAATCAATAATAAAAGAATAAATAACCCCATTTCTATGTGGGCAAGAGACTTGAACAGAAACTTCTCTGATGAAGACAGGTGCATGGCC